ACTACATGCATAGCAAAGTAAAATGATTGTGGTTATCCCTCAACCCAACACTTATATATCCCGCACAATTTACTACTCTTGCAAGTAAATATTGTCTATATATTCGTCAACATCCTGATAACGTTGTACACTGTATGGCCGCCTTCGTTGTAGCTTCGACATAGCTAAGGTATATAATAAACTGGATTTAGCCATCACTTTTTCACGATTTAAATAATGTGATTCAAAACACCATTTATTAATCAAAACATCGTATATATTTTCAATATTATACCAACACTTTTGCAAAACTGACGAGAATAATTTTAACCACACATCCCTACACACAGCATTCTCTGTAACTGTCAACACCCATCGCCACATATAGCGTGCCACGATATTGTCTAACAAATCATCTGCCTCATTACTATTCCAATTCTCCGGTGCGGGGGGTATTTCAACGCACTCATCAAAAATAACAAACGCATTGAAATTTCGAGGTACACTATTCACAGCCATTTTTTCGTTTTTCACTAACACGTTGTTGTTGTTTACCGTATGTTGCTTTGTACCAACACATAATATCGTAGCCGGACACGATCATTTTATTTATAAAAGGTGCTTCATACAACGAATTGGTCACGGGTTTAACTTGCGTTAACCGATTCCAAAATTGTAAAATATAATACTTATCGGTCACCGTACATGTTTTCATACATGTCATATTAACACCTGCAGGTAAGATATCACACAACACTTTTTCAAAATCAACAACATTTATTTTTACACTGTATAGTTTCTTATAATCGTTATAGAATATAATCATAACACACATGTTGAATGTAAATGTCAAACTAAATAACCCTTCGTCATTCTACTGATAAATACTACGATGAAACCAAGTCATATTCGTATTCTGTTCTCTTGTCATACTACGTGTCATTCTTCCACCAACACGTTCCTAAAAAATGGACAAGAAAAAACAATATTACGGTCTACATTATATTTATCAACGTAAATGTTCTTGCCACCTATGTTGGGTTGAAACATTGAAAATAGAAATTGAAAAATCAAGAAAAAAAAACTCATCAAGACTGGAAAGGTAAAAAACTAAACTAACCTCTTTCGTCATTCTTTCAACAAACGGTTTAGATTTTTCCCTTGCAATTTCTACTTTCTTTTGACGATACCAGTATGTTAAATTTATCCCGGTATCTTGCTCCAATTTCAACATGGCATCGTTTTTTTTCCACAAACCTCGCCAATAATCCATCGTTTAGGTCTGCTATCTCTCAAAAAATTTCCATGTGTGACAGCGAGGGGGACAGAGACATTCCTCAATAATTGAAATTGCATTTGCCAAAGCAATACTTCGTAAAAGGTGGAGTCATTTTGTATCAATTCGGGTACAAAACCTTTCTCTACCAAAGTGCTTACTAAAGTTGTAATATCCCATTCCGGCTTTTCTATTGGTGCAATACCGTTATTAGGGTTAGATATATTAAATGTTTTACCGTTCATCCAGTGTGCAACAACAAATTCCCAACGATCGGCTTCGTAACCGTATAACGACATACTGATGCATATGAAATGAAAAAAAACTACTAAATAGAGTTGATAAAATTAAAATATTCCTCATGCCCTTATTTGGTCAACCAATTTTAACACAACATAGCTCTCATATAATCCACAAAACAGCGTGACAGTAACACACCGGTATTTTGTAAAATATATTGAATTATACGTATGTCATCGGCACTTGTTGAATAGTTTATGTATGCTTCGCACAAGGAATCAGCAACACCTTCCAACAGTTGATTATCCTCAAACAGCAAGCAATTGTCAACTATCTTATAACGAACACATGTGTAAACGCGTAAACCTATAACGTTCACATGTGAAACCTTAAAATATTCCTGATGCCAACACATACAACCCAATCGATAATGTGCGTGAGGGAGGTTCTAACCATACAATAGTGTGAATATTTTCATAAAGCACATCATCATAACACCAAACTAATGGGGTAAAACCTTTATGGTTACCCAATTCAAAAAAATTTACTATATTACGATGAAACTCCGATACTTTACGTTTATACTGATAACACGTTGAACGCCACGCCGTAATCATGTCTACGACAATCACGATTTTAGATCGACGTTTAAATACATTATTTAACAGCGTCGAATTTAATACAGCTATGAGTAGATTACGGTGGAAAATGGAAGATGACCATATACGGACATTAAGAAAAAAACAACATTATAAAGGTGTGTTACAAACAATTATCCATATCAATTGTTAGACGATGGCAAAAACAAACTATGTCGACCACCCTATTAACGCATATCACAAACTATTTTACTACAATAATACACAGAATCACTACCGTGTTGCTTTAGTGAAATATCTAGATTCTGTCTTACCGGAAAGCACACATCTATACATACGATTACAAGTACCTACGGTACGTTACCCGATCTACCCGCTATTTCTGCGTCCGCGAGAACGTATGATGGTGCATACGGTAAGTACGGCTTTTTTACAACCCTAATCCATAGTAAAAAACTTAACATGTGTATCTTATAGATTCATGGGCAAAAACAAAGTATGGAAAATGTCGCTGTAAAGATCAGCATGGAAAAGTATCTCGAAGAGCGAGCATCTAACAACCCGTACTATACATTCAGAAACATTCAAAGAAACAATCTAGAAATTATAGACGGTGTATTTGTAATTCAATAAAAAACTATTTCTCTACAAAAGTTCGTCCGTGTGTGTACATATTCTTTCTTACTAGCTCAATAACAAATAACGACACTAATACCCCCGTATTTTCTAAAACATAGCGAATTACATTTTCACTTTTACCAACCCTTGATATAGCATAATTAAAACAACCTATAAAACGTACATCAAGCTCATCACTACCCAATACTGGATAATCTGACATCAAATTAGAGCTAGTCGCATAGCTTCCAAGACCCCAATATGTCATTTTATAAAACACTGTCTTAAAAAGACGGTCTGGTAAAATCGTCGCCGTACTACGATAGAATACATCAATGCATATTATACTATCTAAAAATATAAGTCTCCGATTCCGTGTGTTTTCACCAATAAAAAATACATGATCAATGTTTGAATAAAGTACATTGTTATAATACCACGTCATCTTCTCTTTGCCACAATGTTTTCTCTTAAACCATTTCACTAATGCTAGCTCAAAAGCTTCCCCTTTTTCCATTTTTTTCTACAAGACACCACCGCCTTTTTTGTCCTTTTCTTCAACCAATTTAACAGCTTGAAAAACCGACGCTTCTAGTTTTTGTAAAGAATCTCGCATCTCCACCATTTTCCCATTAATATATGCTACATGTTCTAGACTTGTTTCACAAAATTGGTCCAAGGGTTTCATCATAGCATCCCGTAACGCATGTTGCTGTAGTTGTAGTTGGTAATCTTGCAACTGTAGCGATTCCCTTTTCTCCACGCACACGTTACAGCCGCAATCCTTATTACAAGACATTTTTTTGTGATATTTTTTTGTCAAAAAACCCTGATTTATAGGGAACATTTATTGATTAAAAACCATTTACAAACCATTTACATTTACAAATTACGATGTCCATATTTAGTCATATCTTTTTTCCCACATTTTCAATCACTTCCGCTCATTAATATTTGTCTTTTTTCCCACATTTTCAATCACTTCCTCTTTCTGTCAAGAAATAAAAACATATAAATATAAGTTGCGGACAGCATTATTTTTAAGTAACGCTTACCTGTGAATTCAGCACTGCATAAACGAGCGGGAAAGTTGACAACTAAAGATACGCACTACCCAATTTTTTTCACCCTGCTTTTTTAGCGGGTGGTATACAAAGAAAATAAAAAATATTAAAAAATGTGTGAACGTCCTAAAAACTGGTCAGGGTCAACAAAGGATGAACAACAAGAGTTATTCATCCATATTTTATCATACGTGACAACCAAGCAAGAATTGAAAGAAAACAACAACTGTTTACAACATGATACTTTTCTTAAAAATGCACGTAGACTAATCGAGCAAAATTGGGCCAAAGCTGTATGGTGTTTCTATCAATGTCTTCAGCAATGGGGTGTCGACTATCTACCAGCTGCGGGTGTTGAAAATAGGAAAATTCTCGACGCATTTGAACATAGCAAACTTTATACTATAAAAGTCTTAAGCATGCGTCCAGACGGTAAAAGAAAAGCATACGTCGAAGTATACGGCTACATTGATGAAAATGAACTAGTAAATGAAATGAACTATTGATACTTTACCTTTACTTTAATTTTTGTCCTATCAATTTTATAATGATACAACTTTATTTCAGGATCTCTTGTTCTTAACGTAGTAATGGATACAAGCTCTCGTGGTGGGTAGTATATTATCTAAAAAAATTTTAAAATATAATTTCCGCTCACACATTTTTACATTGTTTTAATGTACAAAAGGTTGAATGGATTTTATATATTATTACCCCATTCATAATGACGGTGAACAAGAATGTGAACAGCAATAGTTATTACAAACAATTTTTATACATTTTTTCTGTAAAATAAATATATGTCTGACTCTTAACGTAAGGCTAGATGCAATAACTTAGGAGGGATTCGAACCCCCATTGACTTAGGACTTTGATACCCTAACGCGTAACCACGGGACCTAATGCTTCCCCAATGGGTTCACATAGTATCCCTTTCCGCCACACCGCCTACAAATAGCTTTGCGTTAAGCCGCCAGACAATATACTTTACACTTATTTGGCTTTTAACTACCTTTTACTCTTCCCTTGCGGTTATTACGGGTATTGGATAAAACTTGTCATGCGCATTAGGGATATAAAATGTTTTATATTGCTTATTTTCTTAGCGAATTATTACCCGGATAATTAAATTTTGTAAAGTGGTAACACAAAAAAATCCTGTGACGTCACTACGATTATTTAATAACAAAAATCGCCAAGGTTGCTACACACACACGCACAACCATGGCCGATTGCGGTGTAAACTGTTCTAGTGAATGCAAGAAATGTCAGCAAGCCAAACAGATATGCGAAGGGGAAAGTTGTTCACTTTCCTACAACGAGGATGACGCGTGGTTTTACGATGAAGACGAGGACTTTGCATTCGACCCGAACGGATCCAACGAATGGTTTGAGAAGGCGTTTGTTGATGGTTTAAAGGAACGCGATGAAATGGTATATGGTTATAAGAAATTAGAAGGCGAATCAGAATCAGAAGAAGAATTAAAATCAGAATCAGAAGGAGACACAGAAGAAGACACAAAAGATGAAAACGAAAATTAAAGAAAAACACAATAGTATAATGTAACCTAGTAACCCGAAAACAGGAAAAAACAAATTATGTTACCATAGTAATGGACAAAATAATTTTAGTAGGTTGAATCTGGGGATTGGAATTGGAGAATGTGGCATTCGCCGACTCCGATTCCCAGCTTTTATTTACTATTTTTTACATGGAAGACAAGAAGAGAAAATTTTGTATTTTATTTATTATAGACGATCTTCTGCTTCGCGTTTTTACACTAGAAGCAAATGATCGTACTATAATTAATTTTAAAAAATTTAATTAGGAAGTAGTTTATTTGAAACCAATTATATTTTTTTAGAAAATGTACGGTTTGGTATTATCTTCAATTTTTTTACGAAAATATCACACCGTATTTTTCTTTTGAAAAAAGGGAATGCAGGGAAACACCAAGTGGTAACACATTACACATAATTTATTAATAATTTTAAGGTAATCACCCGACAAATTATTTTAGTAATTAGTCGGGTGATTATTTTGTAATTATTAACACATTTGGAAAATATGGAAGCACCAAGTGGTAGTACACAAACGACACTTGAAAAACGGCGGCAAATTCGAACGGACGCCACTTCGGTCGACCAGGGCTTCGGGTTCGGAGCTCCGCCACGCATGCGCACGCGACGTCACGCACGTCACCTGTCAATCACGAACACGGTGAGCGTCGTCTCGCAAGGGGAACGCCCCCCTTGTATTTATCCCCCCCGTCCGTACAGTCAGCGGATGCGGTCATCGGCGCCCGCGATACTTTCACTTTTCATTCAAAGCTCCAGTTAAATCAAGTTGGTTCACACACCCCCCATTTTTTTTCGTACTTTGTTTATCATTACTACTACTAGCCTATAACAAGGTCGCATACGACGACGCGGTACTAGGCTATATGTCCTGACTCCTATATATATTTATCATTATGGAGGTACTGACACAGTATAGGCTATAGCACGAAAGATTGCATACACTACAAATTATTCCCTTTTAGGATGCGCCAGTTTTATATTTATAAACAACAAGTTGATCTTCTGCTGACATGTTTGTACTGCATGAATCAACTTGTTGTTTATATATATAAAACTGGCGCATCCTAAAAGGGAATAATTTAGTGTATGCAATCTTTCGTGCTATATAGCCTATACTATACTAATGGACTGTTCGATTTTGACTTTAAACTAACAACTAACAACTGTATTCATTCCTGCCACACAAGATCCTGCAACAACCTTCATCTTCCAAAAGCCAACACAAACTGGGGTAAACTTAGACCGACTTACTACGCTTCGATGGACTTCAACAATTTGAACTACTCAGTTGCAAACGTTAGTTCTCTGTTTCAATTTAAGACTCAATTAAATCTACTTCGTACTTAGACACAGTTATTGCATGCTTGATATATTTTAAATATATGTGTACAGTTTAGTATGCACCGTGTCTCTACACTTAATTTAATTTTGAGCATTTTTTATCTTAACTTCTGACTTCTGAATCGATTGATTCTTTCCTACCATTTGAGGCACGTTGCATGCTTACTGACTAAATTAAATTACATTTTTATGAATTATACATTAGTGGTCTATTTATCATCATTGTAACGTGCATGTGTATATATTTGTATATTTTTGTACAATTTAAATATTGACAATTATTATTGTAAATAATTGTAATTCTGATGCAGGACCCCACTGAAAAACACATAAGTGATGTGGGTATCCTGGATAAATATAATTATTATTATTATTATTATTACTGTGTCAGTACCTCCATAATGCGATATACAGGAGTCAGGACATCAGATAGCCTAGTACCGCGTTGTCGTGAGCGACCTTCTTATATGTAGGCTAGTATGCTCGGTATGCTATGCCATATTATAGACGGCCAACAGCAACAATATTGAATGTTAGAGCTAGCGAAAACTCGAGCGAAAACGCGGATAGAGTCTTAGGATTTTTACTCGTACTAAAATTCCCTCACTGAGTGTCAGTTTAATTTACAGTTTAAACATGGACGAATATAGACACACATGCATGCGTTGAAACATAATTTATGTATACAGCTTAATGCATGGTCTATAATTATATTTGTTTGTATTTTTGTCATTTTAATTGAGCGAAAGGTTCACTACATGCTAAAGAGTAAAGGTTTTTTATCCATCGCCGCTTATAAAATATTTCGTGTGAGAAAGGATCAATATTACAGAACTGTCTGTATTAAAGTGATGCTAAATACCAACTTTTGCACTTCAAGAGTAGCTAAGTCGGTAAAAACAAGGAAGCCAATCATAGGTTTGATTTCTATTTTTCAGGCAAATATTTATTACTTTGAGACTGATTTCTGCGAGGATTTCTGTTCGTCATTAGTAGCTATCTGTCAGAAAGGCACGTTTTACGCAATAATTATTGCAGCAATACTTTCACACACACACCCTGGTATTTTTTCCCTGAATTTTTAACAAATTAAGAATTTTTAGTGTTCCGTGTTCCGGAATGATGCTGTTCCGGTGTTCCGTGTTCCGGTGTTACGGTGTTCCTGGTTTTACTAATAGCCGTTTTTATACTGTTGTCAAAATCAAATAACAACTTAATTATGTCCATATAAGGTGATCAAATGTCCTAGGATAAAATTAAACTGCAGTTAATAAAGTTAAATTTAAAATTCCATAATGAACACTGAACACATGGGGCTTGAGATCAAATGTGACTGTTTAATAGCGTTATAATTTGTCAGTTTTGAATAATATCATGGATATTTTATTGCTTTTCGACAAAAACAATCCCGATACTGCTGCATGCTCACTCGTTTGTGTTGATGTCAACTTGAAATTAACATATTTAAGAAGCAGAATAATGAAAGAAGTCCAAGATTTTATGCGTAAAGAATTCGTGTTTATCAGATGTCAAGGTCAAGAAGAAATTTTTATTTCCAAAGCTAAAGAAGAAATGTTAACCATAAAGGACAATAACTTGTCCGTGCACTTCGTTGCCATTTGTCCGGATAATCCGCTCGTTGCAGGAAAGGAAAGTGAATGCACGCAATCGCATACTTCAAGTCGGTATATTTCGCCGATTACTAGCGACAAAAAAACACTATCTTAAGCTTAGGTCTTAAATCTCCAACATCCTGGTCCATCAAAGGAGTGAAGGTATATGACGAGAAAGAAATCGAGGTTGCTATTGGTAAAGAAAAGGAACGTAGAATGTTTTGGAATAAGCATGCTAAAAATCTCTCCAAACCTTCGATGACAAAAGTCGAGATATATGAGACCATACACAATGACTGGTGGTTGGAAAAGTCAGAGAACCTACTACGTCAAAGTGCTAGCACAAGCGATGCTGTTGCCATTGGACAATCATCAAAAGAAACTCGTGAGCATGTTAAAAAGGGCACTCTGGAGAACAACCGTCAAAAGTCGAATTATTTAAGGCAGAATTTGACAAGCTATCTAACGATGTGAAAGAGCTGGGAATAAAAGCTAAAAAAAGCCCAGAAGAGAGAGAAAGATTGAAAACCCTAAGGGAGAAGCTGGCATTGGCAAAAAGTAATTTGAGGAAAGCACATGATGCTATGAGGAAAACCCTAAAAAAACTTAGCGGATGAATTTTTCAACAAACTTACACGTTGTCGGAGTAGTCGGACAACAATTAATATAGATTTCAAATTCAAACTAGCTATAACGTATAGTAGTAATTTGACAGCTCTAATTGCTTTGAATTAATAATGGTTGGGTAAGAACACAAGGTCTTGTACTCATGGGACAAAACTCAAAGAAATAAAAATTACAAAAATTAAAAGTTTTTAAGAGTTTTCTCCCATGAGTACAAGACCTTGTGTTCTTATCCAACGATTAATTCAAAGGACAAAGCAATTAGAACTGTCAAATTTATACTACAATACGTTATAGCTAATTTGAATTTGAAATGGTTCACTTTTTTGATACACACTGTATACATGTATAAGGGAGCATCAAAGCTTTGTGTTGTTAACATAAATTATACATGCACTTACGTCGTTGCGACAAACTATGTGACAGTAATTATAAATTTGATGTTATTTACTTAAGAGGTGGCACTGACCCATAAGATCTTGAATAAAGTATTGTTACCCCAATTCTGTTTTCTGCAAAAGTTGAATAGTTCAATTTATGTCGTACGGAAATTATTCCGTCATTTGCATTGAATGAGACAACATGAGAAATATTTATACAGACTATTGAAGACTGAAAACTGCGTCCAATGCTGCGAATAAATTTATATAAAAGAATATTAGTTGGTGTGCTTTATAGACGTGCCGAACCAAATAATTATTATACATAAAAGTTAATAATATATAGTTGCTGTGCTTTCATGTGCCGAACCAAATTATAATCACATTGTTCATTTACCAAGACGAATATTTTCTCGAATATTTTGAAGAATAATAATTTCCATGTGTTCATAGTATGTCTATGGAGTTCAGGGCGATTTCAATGTCAGTGCTTCTAGACATGGAACTAAGAATATATATTAAGTAATATTCGTCAAATAAATAGCAAAAAATCCGAAATTTGAGTTCCTTAATAATTTCATTCCGTGATCGGGCGAGCTATAGGTAATTCAGGGTATGACTAATGAACAGAACTGCAGACCACGGAACTTCGGAACCCTGCGGAATATAATATCGCCTTTTTCTTCTTGTATAAGTGAATGAACTGGTGTGTATGGTGTGTATTTACAACTCTGGTGTGTATTTACACGATTTTGTTCTCTTTCGCCAGTATATTAGTTTGGGCAACAATCGTAAACACGTCACTTGGAATTAGCTTCATACGGCTGGTTAATTTTGCAGGTTGCAGGTTTGCAATTCCCTACATCCATACGATGAATGAGATCAGTGACTGATCTCCACTTCCAGTTTTCAGCATTCATGATCTCTGTGGCATGATGGCGAGTTATTTTCATGCAAGAATTTGAAATCAATTTATTTCGATTTTGAAATTCAATGTTTACTTATAAAATGCAGTTTAATTAGTTTTAAGAACATTTTGAAACGTTTTGCGAAGCGTTTGTGGTTGATTTTTACATTAAATTGAAGCTTATATTACGTATAATAACATATATGTTTGGGAAATTGATCATTTTGGAGGGATTTTTCAATTTTAAAACTATTCTTAAAATTATCGTGTTACCATGACAATACTTCATGTTTGGAAAACATAATAGTTTTGTCAGCAAGGCGAGAGTTTCTGCATGCATGTATTTTCTTATAGCATATAATAGACATTTGCTATTGGTATTTTTGTTTGAATAAAGTTTATATTGTTTGTGATGAAAACCAGAAGTGGAGATCAGTCACTGATCTCATTCATCGTCTGGATGTAGGGAATTGCGAACCTGTAACCTGCAAAATTAACCAGCCGAGCTTCATATAGAAAAATGTCAGACTTTTGAAGAACATCATAATTTAATTAGGGGCGTGGGACCACAGTGTGACCAGATTATATCCTATTTGTCTCGAGTAATAAAAAAATTGTTATAATTTGGTCAATTCCAGCCCCTGCCATCATGGGCCCCTAAAATAAAAACATTGAAAAAGATCAAAATATACATTTTGAAAATCAAAATTAAGATATTACAATTTATATTTTAAAAATCTAAATTTACGAATATATTAACAAAAAATTTAACAATATTTTTTACATCGCCCTACCCCCCCCCCCCAACAATTTTTTGGGGAAAAAGATTAATTAGCAACTGAAATGTTTCATGTTTGATCAATAATACCCCCACCCCAATCTTGGTCCATCAGTCACTGGGCCTGGGCCCCATCAGACGTTGCTCATTCGTCGTCCTTTTCAAAACCCCAGCACGTTCCTGGAACTTCATGGGAATTTTCTTCGCCTGCCCATCACGAGGAAATTAATGGCCTGATCGCAGGTTATGGGAAAGACGAAGCTGACGAACGAGAATTCCTGTCACCATGAACTCCTCAGCACTACAGTTTGTACAGGTTATCGACGAAAATGGAGAAGACGTAGCTTTTTATGATGATATTGACCTGGACATTACTCTTGAGAACTTCAGACAATTACTGATTAAAAAACTGGCATATGCTACTCTAGCTAATGCTACTCCTACTTTCGACTCTACCTTCAAGAACGCACCAATTTCTTTAACGCAGGAAAATTTTCTGACACTACAGCAAGTCGCATGTAAATTGGAATCTGGGGACAACAGATTTAAAATAACGTTAAAATTCAGGAATAAACAACACTGTTTTACTGAGAGCAGTGCTCCAGCTAAAAAACAACAATGTGTACAAGATGACCCATCAACTTCGAAATTAACAGCATCAGGTGAAGCAACAAGCTCAAAGACGGGAGTGCAAATTTTTAGTGATAGTGAAGTCAATGTGCCATTCATATCTAATTTCGAGAGGGAAAAGCGACTGTTTTGGAACACACTCGCTGCGAAGCTTGATCAACACCCAATCTATGGTAACTGGACAGTACAAGAAAAGCATGGGATACTTGATACAGAATGGACTCTTAAGTTCACAGAGTTGCTCAAAGTCGAAGCCGATAGACACATAATTAACTGCGGAATTGAAAACACCCAATACATGAGCTTAGCCAAGAACCTGGATAAGCTCGTAAAAGTTGATTTTGAGCGGGCGGCTTGTTACAAGCGAATTGAAAATCAGAACAACGTTACGACTAAAGATAAACAAATAGTACAAAGTATCGAAGCTCAAGAGAACATTTTACACAATATATTTAGCAAAATAAAAAGTGCTCAATCAGATGTTGTGAAATGCATTAATTGGCTTAATACTAACAAAGAGCGTGAGGAGTTACAAGATAATTGTCATCAGTCAGATATCGAAATCGAAGACTTGAAAGTTGAAGAAATTGATGAAATTGCTGAGACAACAAAAGATGAAGACAAAATCATGAACTTTGATTTGACAGAGTCATAGAACATAAATTAAATTGGTGCATTAATTTTTCACTTTTGAATGGGTTTTGAATTTTGATTGTTTTCTCATGTATTTTGAGACGATAGCTATCTCAATATTCTATTTTGAATTTTTAGTTGCATTTGGTCTATATGGGCGTAAACATTATAAAATGTATATTTTTAGATACATTTTGGTGCAACTGCCAACACAATACAAATGTGGCATATAATTACTTATTAACGACATTAACAAATAGTTGTTTTTTTTGTAGTTTAATGAGGTGAATTTATATAAGGGATGGACCATTTGATTTTCAGATGGGGAAGGAGCACAAATCCGAAAAAAATATCGAGCATATCCCGAACTGATGAAAACTATGTCGAGCACGGCAAGTTTGTGAAACCGAAAACCAATATATTACAAAAAATCGGAAAAATATCGCGCTGAGCCGATGAGGCCAGAAAAAAACAGAGCACTTTGAAAAAGGTACCATCCCCTCTTCCCCCATCAAAAATCAAAAGGTCCGTGACCGTCCCTATTTAAAAGTCTTGGTATACAAATACTATTTCGTGGGGACAGCGCGTGCGAAATTTTGTTACATTTTATGAGCAGCAATTGGCGGCAAGCACTTTTGTACGAGCTATAGTATTACCGAAATCAGTAGAGTGTCTTTTCCGGAAGTTGAAAAGACAGTCAAAAGCCAGTAGAAACGTTCATGTTTTATGACGTCACAGTGAAGGAATGCAGCATGGAACTTGTATGTTATTTTACTTATTAGTAACTTTATTTAGTTTGACAAATTGCCAATGGCTCGCCAAACACAAAACAAGCTTTTGAGCAAAGGGAGAAGTTCTAGGGTGAGGCAGAAAAACCCGATGTTTTTTGAAAACCGAATTACTTGATGTTACTTTTGGAGAAAGACCGCAAAACCGAAAAAACCGGGGGGGGGGACCGAAATCGAACCATACTTATACGACTTTGTTGCAAATGAATCAAGTTTTGGCATTTACACACGAAAAACTAAAGAGATTTTGTTTAAATTTTAATATCATTCTACGATTTTGTGCGAGCTTGAGGTCTTGAACGGATAAGCGGATCAAACGATGGTGAATATTGATTCGCTAGTAACAAAGGCGGACGTCTGTGAAGACAGGTTTAAAATATTCATATAGGGTGTTGTGTCTTTTTTAAACCGTAGTTTAGATTTTCGAACATATTTTTTTAAAAAAACCCAGTTCACTCTGTTTTTTCAGGGTTTTTTGGTCGGTTTTTGGTTTTTTGTAGAAACCGCCTCACACTAGGGAGAACCTTTATTCGTGGGAAGGCACTTAAGTAAAGTTACTAATAAGTAAAATAACTTACAAGTTCCACGCTACATTCTTTCATCGTGACGTCATAAAACATGAACTTTTCTACTGGCTTTTGACTGTCTTTTCAACTTCCGGAAAAGACACTCGGTAATATAGTACATGTAATACTATTTACAAATGTCTTGCGAATTTTGATTCCTCTCGTGAATATGGCTAGTTCCGAATTACCATCCAACTTGCAGCTTCGTGATGATTTGACTTTATTGCAAACTGCTATAAGTCAAAACAATAGTGACATTGTAGTTTATCTTAAAAACTGCTATGAAGATTATCTGACGCGGCTTTTAGTCAAATCTAATGGCAGTGGTATCAAAAATGCTATCGGTACAAAACGTGACCCGTTTTCAACGGCATTGCTGCCAAGAGACATCCCAACAAATCTTACACGGATTAAAGCCACTGGTGATGGGAATTGTTTGTTCAATTCTGTATCTTTACTATTAACTGGCGAGGAAAACGTCAACGGAATTCTTCGCCTTCTCGCAGCAGCAGAATTTTTTTAAATAAAGAGTTTTATGCAAATCATCCAAGGTATGTATTTATATACTCGCATTTCGGGCCTGTTTATATGGAGGCGAGTTACCCGGCAAGGCGAGATCCCGGCTATTATAGAAACTTATAGTAATCCCGAGTGACTGTTTACATGATGCAGCACAGCAACTCGCCTTGGCGGGTTCCCGGCAGAAAGAGGCGGGATATCGCTTAGGTGAATATTTCACCATGTAAACACTTTGCCCGGGTAATAAACTCGGCCGCCCGAGATAGAATGTATGTGCTTTGTATTTGAAATGGAATAGCTAAAAAATGCATACGAATCGATAGATAAGTTTTCCTGAATTTCTCCGCACTTATTCTTGTATTTTGACCAAATTTTGTAGTGTTTTTTAACGTTTCAAACGAATTAAATCCTCAATCATGCAACTCAATTTCATATAAACAGAGCGCTTGTTTGTCCCGCCTGGGCGAGTAACTCGCTTTGCCGGATAACTCGCCTCCATATAAACAGGCCCTTTTGAATTAGTACAGTAACACGTAAATATTAAACTTGCTTCCCTATAGTTTGTACAGCTAATTCAAAGAGGGTGCCGGTCCTTCGATAGCAAAATTGAAACGCTCAGCGAAAAGGCTTTAAGGCGCTGTTACACTAGTCACTATTAAAGCAACTAATTGTCTCGGAACTTGTCTCGCAATGTTTAAGAAAACGATTTCAGGATTGTATTGCAAGGCCAAGGGATGTTACACCAAGCAATAGCCGGTTCCATGAAACTTGCAATGATCTTATTAAAAATAGACTAAATAGTAAAACCGCGAGTGCTAAAGTTTGGCGCCATATTGTCCATATTGGCAGTCAAAAGCCAAAACTGCAAAAGCCAAAACTGCAAAAGCCATATGAAAAAGAAAATTGCATGGCAAGGGGAATAAATTGAAAATGCTGTGATTTTCATGTTGTGACAATTTCAATTTTCTTTCCGGTTTGACTTCGTCCCGGTCTCTTGTAAACGGCCATTACTCAATAGAGTGACAAAACGTAACAAAGCAAAGGTTTTACTAACACTAACCCTATGGGCCTATTCCAAACACCAACTCTAACCCTAACCCTAATTAGTCTAATTTCTCACGCCTCCATTTTTGGGGTACTGCATGCATAGTTTTAATAGACATTTTCCATTATAGACTAATTTTAAAACTAGACAAGGACATGCAAATAAATCAACACAGCTAGAAAGAGCATACTAAAATTAATAAAATTACAGTGTTTGCATGGTTGCGAAATGTTATAAAATGCGGAAAATATAGCCTTGCAAAGTTTGCAAATTTTGTATACTTTTGTGTCGCGTGCGGAAATTCCTACCACATTCCAGGGCGTAGTAAAGCACAGCGCCCTGCACATTCCTACCACATTTGGTAGCAATTTCCGTACGTAATACAAAAGTATACAAAATTTCCAAACTTTGCAAGGCTATATTTTCCGCATTTTACTACATTTCGCAACCAAACTTTGCAAATTTACTCATTTCAATAATATGCTCTTTCTAATTGTATAGATTAATTTGCATCTCATTGCCTAATTTTAAAATGTCTATATAATGGGAATTGTCTATTGTGAGTTAATTTACAGTTAAATGTTTGAAAAAATGTTTTCAAATCGCTTAGATTTTTCACGACGAGTTTTCAAAAAAGTACTTCGCCTTCGTGAGGAAATTCCAATTGGAAAAAAAACGAAACTTACAACTGGGGTCATGGCGCCATTTCGAATTTCAATTTTTCCCGCAATACTCATTCTATTATAATGATTTGTATTATTTATATGCCTTCTTGTAATGACAAAAGATGAAGACTATGATCAACTAACTTGACGTTCAGTGTGACCAGTGTTATAATGGCTTAGACAAGGCAGCTATAGGTTGACTTGGTTAGCCTGAAATTAAAACCATTAATCGCTTTTAGATTCTCTATTACACAATATACCATTGAAACACAAATGCTTACCAAAAATATTACCGAATTATTAAAATCTCTAAAAATCTTACCAAAATTTTACTAAAAAATCTCAATACTAAAATTTTAATTCCAAAGTTGACGAGATTTTACCAACAGTATAAACATTTTACCTAATCTGATCACACTGTCGTCGTCGATATTGGTAGGGCATTTGTCCCCAATTATCCACAATACCCTGAGAGAGCCTAGAATTTGATCATAATATATTAGCCAGAAAATCTCGCCATTAAATTGCTCTTGTGAACTTTAAACTCGCTAGTTTAACAAGTATACTTTACTCAGCGTTTTTCCTTCGCAAAGTTTTAACGCCCAGTAGATTCACAAGCGAGCATATAGGCCAAACAAAAACAAAACTTGGTTAGCGTCACCGCCCGCCTCTCGATTTCTGCCACCTCTGAATTTTTAAAAAAAATTTTTATGTAAATCTCTTCGTTTTACAGCTTAAAACAGTTTAATATTTGAAATTTTTCTCATACTCAGACCTTCGCGCTATATACTGATCGATAGGAGTGCGTGGGCTTGGGTATACAAGGTTCTTTTAGCAAAATGGCAGCCTTCGCAACATCAGTACAAAAAATGTCACCGATATGGTGGAAAAACCACCCCCATCCCCCCCAAAAATACTATTAAAAAATTAAAAAACAAGTAAAAATTTTAAAAAAAGCGCCCGCCCGCCTCTGAAAATTTGGGAGAGTGTGACGCTAACCAAGTATTTTTTTTTATTTGGCCTTATCACTACTTTTCTCCATAAACATCCCTCGGCGAAACATCATTTTCTTTACTGGTCATTTGAAATTAATCAATACATTAAAAATTAGTGTTTATCTTGCAATAGATCAAATGATGCAGAAGTCAATCGCTTCAGCAAAACAACTTGTTTCATGATGTCCTTGTCTATCAATGTTCCTTATGGAAACAACCGAACTAAATGTTTGCAAGAACAAGCTATCCATACATGTAGACTTAAAAACTGGTCAGGATTGATCCACATAATGGCTCTAACATCTGTGCTTAAACGCCCTATATTTTCCGTTTACCCCGAGGCAAGTCCACTAATATGTCCACTGTTTCATGGCCTTATACGTCCGCGTGATTCAAACATGTCACAGGATGGAACCCACGTCAACCTTTTATATATCATGTTTACCAGAGATGATGATTTGGATAGCAGAAAATCGGTAGGATTTCAACCAAACCATTTCTGTCCTTTGATTTTCAATAACGATGATGACTTTCTACTAAACAAAAGCGACTTTCCACCATTGTTTTCAGAACTCCCACCTCAAAAGAATGATTTCCCAACTACCTTGAAGCGGGCAAGAAAAAAATTTCGTCCGATAAAAAATAATCGACAAAACCGCAAAAATGTTGGTAATGATAAAAAACCGAAAGCTGCATTGTCTTGTTTCACCTGTAGGGACGAGTTGCTGTCCAAAAGTAATGCCAAAGACCCAATGAAAGTAATTCCTGAAAACGCCTGTTGTGAATCCAACAGCGCGAATGAAACACAACTTTCCATGAAGTGTCTTTTGCGATCATGGTTCAACAGAAAAGGTCAAGAATTGTCAAACGAAGGGGATGAAAACTACATAGCGCCTGTACTAAACGGCAAGGCAAGTGAAACACAACTTTCCACGAAGTATCTTTCACAATCATTGTTCAATAGAAAAGGTCAAGAATGGTCAAATGAAGGGGGTGAAAACTACATAGCGCCTGTACTAAACGGCAAGCCAAGTGAAACACAACTTTCCACGAAGTGTCCTTCGCAATCATTGTTCAATAGAAAAAGTCAAGAATGGTCAAACAAAGGGGATGAAAACTACATAGCGCCTGTACTAAACGGCAAGGCAAGTGAAACACAACTTTCCACGAAGTATCTTTCGCAATCATTGTTCAATAGAAAAAGTCAAGAATGGTCAAACGAAGAGGAAATGAAAACTACATAGCGCCTGTAATAAACGGCAAGGCAAGTGAAACACAACTTTCCACGAAGTATCTTTCGCGATCATGGTTTAATAGAAAAGGGCAAGAATGGTCAAATAGAGGGAATAAAAACTACACGGTGCCACTGTACATATCCCTTCCAATGATTTCAAGAAAATGGTACAACAGCACTGGAAAAGACAAATCTTCAGATAATTTAAAGGATCAAAATAACAAAAATGTCACTAATCAAAATCCAAGTAACAAGAATACAAATGTAAAGTTAGAATTAAAAGCACTGAGTAAAAAATGGTACTCAAAGCGTGGAAGACTGGCTGCAAAAAACTGGGGACGGTCATCTGCTAAAGAAAAACAGCAGGTTGGAAAATCCAACATGACAGTCATAAAACAATCAACTACAACTGGATCCATAGATGAAAACATTGAAAACATTTTTGAACAACTGTCAAGAACAACTTCAAGAAAAAGAAATTCAGAGTTTACAGGATTACTTGCTGTGGGCGAACTAATAAAAAGTTCTTGTGTGACGTCCACCCAGGAGGCTGGGAAAGTGTATACTACTGCACGATGTGGACAAGGATCTAAGAAAATGACATCGTATTTGTTTGATTATTTTGGCCGATACTTTAACATTGTACAATTTTACCTTTACGACAGGTCCTACATAATTGAAAATAGAAATCAGAAATTTGATGCTGTAATTCGACAACTGCAAAACATAACTGCTGATCTTGATACGTCTTGTAACAAAAAAATCGAGGGGAAAGTTGGACCAATTTTTGCAAGTGCTATACAAATGATGGACACAAAATGGGATAAAGACCTCCTAAAAGGTATTTTTTCACATGCAACCAGTGTCAAATTCGTTTCGAAGATGCAGCAATTTCAAAATAAAACAGCTATCATGAATTGCCGAGATGAACTTAAACTAACATCGCAACATTTCAAGAACTTCAAAAACTTCAAAAAACGTCTCAGGTTGTCAGAAATGACATGACAAATAGCCAGCAAAGTCGCCTGCAAAAACGCATTGTGCAAAGGAGAAAGGATAATGAAATGAAATCCAGATTCAAACGAAGAGGCAGAATGATGAAGTGCGAAGAGTGGCCACAACTTGCACAAACCCTGGAATATATTTTTGGTGAATTCGACCAAAAGGAGAAATCTGGTGGCGGTTTAGAAGCACACGCGAGGCTAACAAACAATAACATGTATAGATGCAAGGACAATAACACTTTTATGAGACAAGCATTAGAAACTGTGAACAGTATTTCACCTCCGTCGTTCAACACAAGTTTAAGTTCATGTTTCAATTATACTATGACGTACAAAAGAAATACTGCATGTGCGAAGCGTCATCACCATGGCAAAGACGTTAATGCAAATATTTCCTTGCATAATCCGCCAAAAACCCAAGTGAAGAATCTTGTAGTCAATTTGCATTACAGTACAGCAAACGTCAACTATATTTGTGACGACAGTGACCTGAACAAAAAGAACGTAATCGTTGACTCAAAAGACGCAAAAAAAATTGTTTGTGCAGAAATTTGTCCAGTGCAAAAGCCAGGAAAAACATGGTCTGAAATAGAGTACCCAGATCATGACTGGGGTCAGAGCAGAACCAATGCTGTAACTCCCATGACACACTTATTCATGAATACCATTATTACCGAACGAGAAAGTATATCCTGCATTACAAAATCTGGACATACACTTTGAGCATACAAATACTGTTCTTCACGTGACTCGGTCTGGAAAGGCCGTTACTTTAGTTACTCCGTCTCTATTGGAGCCCGATACAACAGTAAAACTAGTGAACGAAATTTTTTTTCTTTTAACAAAACCTTCTTTGGATTTTATTTTTTGCAATCCTACAACAGGATTCCTTAAAAGTGTTTTTATATTTATCGTTGACAATGGCCCTGCAGAACAACCGTCGAGCACCCTTGTTCAGATGCTCTTGATAAGGCTTTTGATAACATTAAATCTCGACAAAATTACCCAAGTTTCATTCGCTGAATATTACAGTAAATGTAATTTTGTGGAACGATATTCTGTCGAAGATGAAGCTCTGTCTCGTCATGGGCCATTCACAGCTCATAAAATATTTAATGAAAAGTACATCCAGCCAGGTTCATCTAAACATATTATGAATATGGGTGAAATGGCAAAGGACGTTGCAACTTGTCTAGGCCAAGTTAGATTTGGAGGAAGTAATCTAGAGGCTTATAGAGGAATAAAACAAACAGAACATGTATTTATAGACGAAGAGCGATTAAAACAATTTTTGTCATTATCAGAAGAACTAAAAAAACAATGCGAATGGGTATACAGAATTGAACAAGATAGTGCTGTATGGAAAGACGTGGAAGCAATTTGGAATTTATCTCAAGAAAGGGAGTACAAGTACGTGGATGATTATAAATTATTGACAAATACACTAACCGCAAAAAGAACTACGTGGATGGACAAATATCAGGTCACATTTTATCGATCAAATGAGCAGTGGAGGGGTGATGTCCTTACTAGAAAAGCGCTACAACCGATTCCAGATTACATCAGGTGGGTTTCTACTGGTGGAGAATTACATTATATGACATTTGAAAAGAATTTAGCGCTCAAGGGAGACTGGGATAGCTGTTCTGGACTGTTCAGACCAGAGAGATTATTGGACATCCTAATTTCCATAAATTCAGATCCTCCAGATTACACTTTCCCTACAATTGCGTCGTTCGTTTGGCTCACAGAGAATGATACCAGACAATATTTTAAAGAGCAGCATGAGAAATTTCGGTATGAATTACGCGAGGATTTAGAAAGAGAAAAGTGGAAGGGACATAAGCTATTTTCGAAGAATGTTGGATGTCCTACAAGAAATGTGCATGAAAAATGGTCTCTCGGGTAAAAGGGCAGAAGCATCACTTGGTAGAGCGCATTGCTACAGCTAGTAATGAAGGACCACCTATTGATGAGCATGAAATGACTTACAAAAGAAACTTTCAATCCATTCCATCGTCTATTTCTAACTTAAGGAAGTTATCAACAGCAAAATTGAGATTTATTCTTAACTACCATGGTTTGCCTACTCAGGGCACCAAAGAAGAGCTGTGCTTACGACTTTTCCTATTGCGTCAAAACAGATATAAGCTGGCCTTTAAGGACCAAGAAGACGAGATAAAAAGAATGTTGCGGGTTGTACCTGGTATAATATTGGATCAAAGACGGAATGCATTGCTAAATCCTGCTGATGTATACAGAAAAAGGACACACTATACATTCAAGAAGGATAAATCCTTCTTAGTCGTCCCAAATCATTTGACGCTGGAAAACATTCACAATCAAATGTTAAAACCTATCGAAGAGTACTTAAAGATTCTCTATAACTTGCGAAAGGAAAGAAATACAGAGCTAATTCAAACTGGACAAGGTAGTTTAGTTAATTTTCTAAGCAGTAGCGGTAATCAGAGTGAAGATTTTATGGTTGTTGAGAAAAGAATTAAGATAAAATGGTCGAAGGATGAAATTGGTAACAGTGGGTGGAAATATGGGTGGTATACGGCTATGGTGCAAGGTTTTTCTATTCAGCATGATTCTATTGATGTTGTTTATTTTACTGAAAAAGACTGCGTATACACTGTTTGTGTTTCAGACTTACTTTCTAAAGGAAAACTTATGGCTGCATAAATGAAATTGAAATGAAAGTAAAAATATGAAACTGTTTTGTTATGGTTGCATTATACAGGGCAGATGAGAAAGGTTTATTCTTTTGTGGCAAAAAAAGATGTGTTGTAGTTCTAAAAATGAAATCTGTAATCAGGTCTTATACATCATTGCGGACCAGAGTGACTCAATGAATATAAAACAAAAACAGTTCTCACAAACACAGTTCTCAAAGTTACCTCTCATATATATATATATTGCATGCTTCACAAATACTTTTGTTCACCTCTTTTACGAATAAGTCGTTTTATCGTTAAAGTTAGAAAGTGTAATTTGAACCGTTTTTTTTTTGCAGAAGTTTATTTGCTGATTTACGTCCGCAATGATGGAAAGTTAAAGACATCTTTCTTGGCATCTTGCTACGCAAAAAATAAATCATTATATTTATACAAAATTAATATAAATTATTACTAAAACATTACAAAATAATGATGGCTATATCAGTTCCTGCCTTGATATATTTATGTAAATGATCAACCTAGCACAATTACACAAGAACAACAAATCTTGTTGTCACAGCTTGGGGCGTGATAATTGGTGCGGCTCTAAAAGGAGTAAATATGGTATACAGACAGAAGAGGACTTCAAATTGTTTAATGTGGAAATTCGATGGGACGTACCGACCCGTAACTGGGCACACACAAGTAAAAAATGATATAATAAATAAGAACAAAGTAAAATAAAATACAAATTTTCGACTGAACTCTCTCGTCTCAAACGTTTGTTGTTCATATTCGCTCACATGTTCTCATGTCCTTTTCCCCTCCCCCCGGTACTGTCAATCATCCCGCCCGCGAATAGGCGGGATACCTAAATTTGGATCACACTCCCCTTAAAATTACGTGTAACTTAATTTTAACTCAACGAAATGTACAATGAAATAGTTTCTCCAGTCAGTCCTCATCAGCGAGCCAGTGTCGAACTCTTTCCTTTGCCTTCTCTGCTGCACGCCTTGGTGGTCTCTCCTGTTTCTCCTCAACTTCTGGCGTTGGTGCTTTCGGCTCTTCTACTTCGCTGCTACGTATCTCTAGAGGGCAAACTAATTGAATAGGTCGCTCAATCTCGTGGCCCTTATGCCGAAGTACAACTCCTCGCACAACTCCGTCCTTTCCCAATATAAGTCGCAATACTTTGCCTTTCTTCCAAAGCCCACAGTTCTTTTCTTCCCCGAGTACTAATACGATCTCCCCGACTTTCGGCAGTTGTCCGTCACCTTTGACTATGCGATGAGATTCCATAAGGCTGTGTATGTATTCTTTGTGCCAACGGTTCCACGCGTGTTGTCTGGCAGCGTTGAGACGTCTCTTCACTTTCGTGTTGTTCTCGGTCTTCCAAAATATGTGAATCGTCGCCCCATAAAATGGTGTTGGGTGTCAGGACTTGAGGCTCCCCTCTGTCACTTTCGATGTAGGCTAGTGGGCGGTTGTTTAAATGGCGTTCAATGTCCATTACCACTGCGATAAGTTGATCTAACGTAAGATGGGTCTTGCCTAGTGTCTTATACAACGTCTTCTTCACTTCCTTTATTAGCCTTTTGTACATCCCTCCCCACCAAGGGGATTTTGCTAAATTGAACTGCCATGTTATTCTTTGTTTCGCCAAGAAATCTTGTAGTGCTTCGCTTTTCCGGATCTTTTTTATCCACTGGGCTGTAGCTTTAAAGACTGCTGCGTTGTCCGATATGATGCGTTGTGGTCTCGTCTTCCGACATATGAAGGCGTTTAACTTGTCTTGGAATTCTTCCGCGGTCTGTGACTTCGTAACTTCCAAATGAACAGCTCGCGTGACTGAACAGGTGAAAATCAGAATAGATGCTTTGCCTTCTTTATTCTTGTTGACTTTGTAAACCAGCGGGCCGGCGAAATCGACACCCATGGTTTGAAAGGGCTTGCGAAATCGACACCCATGGTTTGAAAGGGTTTGAGCGTAGCTCCTCGGCTTCCCGCGTCGGCAACATTCTTCTCTGACGGCACATACTTCCATTGAATCCCGATTTCCTCCGTTATTTCCACGATCTTTTTCACCCTGTTTGCAACAAACACCTTCCATGATTTTCCGGGGCTTGAAATCCAGTAGAGAGCGACCAGGCTGTCCATCCAGATGGTAACTGATCTGACGGGCAGTCTCTTCAGAGCATTGACAAGATTCCTCGCTAAATTTGCTGCCATCTGACCACTTACTAGCTCCAAGCGTGCGATGGATGTGTTACGCTTACAGATTCGAGATTTTGATGTTAGAAACCCTTTCACTGTTCCCGTATCGTGTTCGACAATAGCAATGGTCATTGCAGAGCAAGCCAAATTGCTCGCGTCAGCAAAGAGATGTAAGTGAACAGCCTTCACTTTCCTGCATTCTCGAATCACGCTCCTCGGTATTCGTACGTTGCGAAGTTGTCTAGTCCATTTTAACCAATCCTTGGCTAGCACCGCAGGCACTTCTGAATCCCAGTTTTGATTTTCATCACATGCTTCGCGATAAATGTGTTTACCTTCCACAACTGTTGGGGATATAATTCCGAGCGGATCGTAAATACCAGCCAAATGACTCAAAATAGATTTCTTTGCAATTCGCTGTCCGTTATCTCGTTCAGGAACTTGGATCTCTAATACGTCATCTTGTTTATGCCATGTCAAACCCAGTATCTTTCCAGGATCGGGCATGTCCGCACTCTCTAGCGAATGAACATTTGACTCCCACTTATGAACAGGAAACTTCCCCTCCTCCATGATGGTTGTAGCTTCGTGCTTAAATTCCTTCAACTCTTCGACACTGTCCCCAGTCTTCATTAAGTTATCTACATACGTGTTCTCCGTAAGTATCAACAGAGTATCAGTATGGTTCTCCTGTGGTTGGTTATCATAATGGTGTTGCAAGGTGGCTCCGAGAAGAAAGGGGCTCGCTTCTGCGCCAAAGGGTATTCTGGTAAATCTGAATCGCTCTTCCGTTCCGTCTATCAATTCAAATACAAATCGAAAGGCATCTCTGTCCTCTGGTTTCAATCCGACTTGAAGGAATGCCTGTTGAATGTCACCAATTAGCAAATTTGGAGCCATTCGAGCTCTTATCAATATGTCTCACAGCAACGGCTGTAGTGCATATTGCAAATATGGCCGTCGGTCACACCTTTAGTTTTAAGCTCTTAAAGATTTTTATAATTTTAGCCTTACTTGATTGTAAGACTTATTATTCTACTAGACCTTATATTGTTCCTAAGGACTCTTACTCAAAGGATATCCATCGACTGAACGCTGATGGATTGTTATTTGGATTATTTTCATGTGAATATATACTGCCTGCTGCTGCTTGTGTTGTTATCAGGAGAGTTGATTTGGAATCTCACTTTGCTGTGTCGTTTGTCCTAACCAAGCAGACTAAACATGGAACTACATGCTTGGCGCTTCCATCCAGGCCTTTTGTCATCGATCTTACGGTTCACGTTGACATATCACCGAATCCAGGACCAGATGCTCAGTGCAAATCAGAATACGGCAAATCAGATGACAAACTTTTGTCTTGTGCAACAGTAGCGGCATTACGCTCGATACGATATTCGCGAACAGATTTACTATCACCAAAGTGGTTGGTCCACAATAGTCTGCCGTATATATCTACTACGTTTTCAAGAAGTTTCGAACAGTTTCAGATGAGTGGTATGAATTTAGGAAAGGGTCAAAGAAATCCTACAAGGCATCACCAGAAAATTACTAGCCACTCGGTTTTGAATACTAATGAGCATTGGACAAATGGGCAACAATACCCCATTCAAACAAGGATAACAACACAGTCACGAAATATATGTCCATATTATAAACGCCCTGAGCGGAATAACCTGATTAAAATCGCCTGTACGCGTATGGTCCCATCCTTTAAGCCAAGCTTAGCCACTCATTTTTGTCTACTAAATACAAGATCGCTTAAAAATAAAGGGGCACTTGTACATGATTACATCATAGATCGCAAAGTGGATATTTTAGCTTTAACAGAAACTTGGCTCTCTCCTGGAAATGTCAATGAATTTGAAATAAACGAGACTACTCCAAATGGTTATGCATTTTTACACGTCCCAAGACATACTCATGGTGGTGGAGTCGCTGTAGTTTATAGAAAGTCCCTGCATCTCAAGCAAAATCCTACATATGACAAGTTTAAATCATTTGAACATATGGACTTAACCGTGAAGTCCGCATCGAAATCTTTAAGAATTATTGTTATATATCGACCACCAACGTCAAAAAACAATAATTTAACCGAATCCACCTTTTTTAGTGAATTTTCTACTTTACTTGAAGAACTTGTACCTTATTCTGGTACTGGTAGTGTCCTTATCGCAGGAGACTTCAATTTCCATGTTAATGACTCAAGTAATGCATCTGCGAAGAAGTTCCTCAATTTATTGACATCATTTGACTACAGAAACCACGTACTTACTGCTACTCACAAAAAAGGCCACACACTGGATCTATTACTAACACGATCTGACGACAAATTTGTATCAAATATAGATGTCATTGACCCTGAAATCTCTGACCACTAGGCGGTGAACTGCAAACTTTTGCTTGCTAAACCACCTTCCGTAAGGAAACAAGTGAGTTTCAGAAACACAAAAGCGACTAATTTCGATTTGTTTCGCACCGACATAAAAAATTCTAGTCTGCTTAAAACACCCAATACATCTACGCTTGCCGAATCTTATCAAAACGTACTTTCTACATTGCTGGATACCTATGCACCTGTTAAAACCAAGACAGTAACACTACGTCCTGCTACTCCTTGGTATACACCTGAGATTCAAGAACAGAAAATCAGAAAGAGGCGCTTGGAACGTCGATGGAGAACTACCAAGCTTACAGTGGATAGAGAGGTGTACACCCAACAATGTATTGTTGTAAATAGGACTATCTTTGCAGCAAAAACCAACTACTACAAAGACATGATAAACGACTGTGGCTCGGACCAAGGAGAACTTTTCAAGAAAATAGATAGGATGTTTAAAATGCCAGTAGAAGGGAAATACCCATCATGTGCTTCATCTGAACAGCTTGCAAATAACTTTGCAGATTTTTTCGACAACAAGATAGATTCCATCAAAAAGGATTTGTCCATAAAATCTGCAAATCTATTATGTTCTCATATCATGGACACAACTTTATTATCAAAAGACACCAAACTTGAATCATTTGCGCCTACAACGACGGAGGATTTGCTTGTGCTCACACGAAAACTGGTTAAAAAATCATGCATACTTGACCCAATCCCAGCGAAGGTACTAATGGAATGTTATACTGATTTATTACCGGTTATCACTAAAATAACTAATATTTCACTGGAAACAGCCACTGTGCCAAACAATTTAAAATGTGCTGCTCTTGATCCAAGACTTAAGAAAGATAGTCTAAGCACTGACGAATTTTCAAGTTTCCGGCCTATTTCAAACCTTAAATTTGTATCAAAATGCATAGAGAAAGTGGTAGCAACTCAGTTGGATCAACATATCACAAGTAATAATTTGGACGAACCCATGCAATCTGCGTTCAAGAAACACCATAGTACCGAGACGGCATTAATAAAGGTTCAAAATGACATTCTACAAGCCATTGATAATCAAAATTCAGTGATTTTATTGCTGCTTGACATTTCTGCCGCCTTCGATACGATTGATCACGAAATATTATTGTCCAGGCTATCTTCTAGATATGGAATCACTGGAAAGGCTCATAAGTGGTTTGAATCATATCTTAATGAAAGAACATTTACGGTGCATATCTCGGGTGGTCAATCCACTAAACGCACTCTACGATCTGGTGTTCCACAGGGTAGTATTTTGGGGCCAATGCTTTTTTCACTGTATATAGCACCAATTGGAGACCTTATGAGATCATTGGGCATCGACTTCCATCTTTATGCCGATGACACGCAATTATATGTTACTTTCAAATCAAGTAATCCAGACGATCTGATAGTTGCAAAAACGAAGATCGAAGAGTGTGTCCGTGAATTAGATGAATGGTTGACCATGAATAAGCTAAAGTTAAACAGTGACAAGACGGAGATACTGGTGTTTTCTGCTCGCCATCGTCCAAGTCCATCTTTGTCTTATATAAATGTTTGTGATGATGTCATTGGCCTCTCTACCAAGGCGAGAAATATTGGGATTATAATGGACTCAAATGTTACTATGGAATCACAAGTATCAACCATTTGCAAATCTGGATTTTATTATTTAAGGAAAATCAGTAAAGTACGAAAATATCTCAGCCTTAAATCTGCAGAGATTTTAGTACATGCTCTGGTTACATCCCAACTTGATTTTGGAAATGCATTGTTACACGGACTATCGAACACTGCTCTTGAGCGAATCCAGAAAGTTCAGAATGCAGCAGCACGAATTGTCACATTAACGAGATCACATAACACCAGTGCTATTCAATCTACATTGGCTGCCAATCAAGGAAAGGATTCAATATAAGATACTATTGATCACTTTTAAGGCTTTATCTGGACAAGCACCAGGATACATTTCTGACCTGTTGGAAGTTTATGTGCCTAGGCGAAATTTAAGATCATCATCAGATAGGAAATTAGTAGTTCCAAATTATAACTTGGAAACCTATGGTAGACGTTCCTTTAGGGTATCTGCACCAATATTGTGGAATAATCTGCCTCAGAATGTAAGACTATGTGAATCTATAGGATCTTTTAAATCAGAATTGAAAACACATTTGTTCCGAATTGTATATAAGGATTTTATTTAGAGTAATTTTAACTATTTTTAGATCGATTTTTATAGTCTATTTTACAAAACTTTAAATTAAGCAATTGTTGTATAAATATTGTAAGTTACAAGTTGTAAAGCGCATCTGGACATTTATGGAAGATGCGCTATATAAAAAACTAATTATTATTATTATATTATTATTAATTCGAGTATATCCTTACTCCAAGTGCTTTGTTTCCAGCATGCCAATCTGCAATCTCACAGTGAATTCCATCTAAGCGTTCTTCTGGGGTGAAACCATTGCTGAGTGTCATGTGAGCATTCACTGCTCTTTCAACTGTCAGCTGATCTCCAACGATTGCCTGACTTGAGTATCTTCGTTCTTCTCCATCGCCAACGAACGGAACATAACCATGGAGTTCCTGTAATATTTTCTGTATGCCATTTGCATCGTTTTCACTCTCGAAAATAACCCCAAGGAAATTCTGAAAGAAATTAAAGTAGTTCAAGTTAGGTGTCTTTCTCAGGTACCTCAATGTTTTGGTTATTTTGAGGCAATTAGGGTATATGTATTTATTCACTGAGGGCCAAGCCCATGATAAATAAATCACATATTCACAAGGACAGTTAATATAATAATATAAATTATTAAATTATAAACTTACTGAATTTGTTGGTTGTGATGCTTCTTTGCTGTATTTGTGGTGAATGTGGTTCTCAACAACATCTTGTCCAAATTCAAGGCAGGGAATATTTTCAACCAGAATTCTCTGGACCAACGTGATGTAATTTGCTCTCTGTACTTTTTGTTCGATGTGATTAGGAATACACTTGCCATTTTCCATTTGTTTAATACCAGGTACAGGGCTGTCCGTACTCAAATGGTTTCCAGATATCCTGTTTGTGGTGGCATTGACTGTCACATAGTGTCTATCAATGTTCTGGTGTTCTGTCATGTAGTGGACATTTTGATGGTAGTCAACATTGTCGATGGTGAGCTTGAATCCAGGGGATGGTTTTGCACATGTAACTGTGGTTGGTCTGGGCTCAGTTTCGTTTTCCATAGCAATCTTTTCTGCAAACCACTTTGTGTCGCTTTCAACCATTTCTTTCACATTTCGAGAAGATTTTCTCATGGGAAGTTGCAGAATGATGTACACTGCTTCTTGTGCACTTATTTCAACAGAGTTTAAAAACTTGTTGCCAATGTCACGAACCTGTTGTTTGATGGTGGAATTACCTTCCTTAGCTTCAGCACATGCGTTACGTAACAAGTCACTCATTCCTTTTTGAGCTTTAGAAATATAGGAAACAATGTACATTGCACAGGCATATACATCAAGCACAAATTGAATGTCCATGTTAGCTCTCCATGCTTGGAGGCAAGCAGGATTATAATTATTAATCCTTAATTCATTGGGACTTCTTTTTAGAAATATTGTTGGACAATTTAGTGATGATCGAATTGCAAGAATATATTGATATTCTGAAACATCTAGTTCTTTCATAAGTTGATCAAATGTTACGTCTTCTCCCTCTTTCAAATCATTTAGTTTATTCTTAATATTTTTCCACAACTCTTTTCTGGCTCTTATGACAGTGTCAGAAGCATTGTCATCAAGTGGATGAAGTATTTGTGTTGATCTCATTGGTGGCTGAGGATAATTAAATCTACAAAACTTTTTTGGAGTTTTTTCGGCATGTGTGGGAATGTCTATGAGTTTGTCTGTTTACAAGATCAAATAATTCAGTGTCATTATTATCAGGCTTTCTACAAGATATTATTTGGTCAATGAAATTCACTACATCTTCATCTTTATCAACACCAAATACAGGTGCATTTTCAAGCCATATGAGCATATGGATGTGAGGCGAGCCTCTCTGTTGGTATTCAACCCTGTAAAACCAATCTTTCAGCTTCCCTAATGGGGCAATTTCACTCATTAAAAAATCTTTTAAGAAAGTATTAAATTGGTAATCAAAATGCCTTGCACAAGTTACTGGGTCACTTTGAATTAGTCTACACTTTTCATCCCAATTTAAATTATCTCATTGTTCATCACTATAATCTTTGTGATCAACAAGCTTACCAAGGATTCTTAATAAATGATTCCATTTTGTTTCAGCAGATGAAAAACTACAAAATAATGATGCAGGTCCTAATTGCCGAATCATAGCAAACAAATCCTTTTTGGCTTTTTCAAAGTAAGGTGGGGAACCTCTCAAAGCTCTTAAAAATTTGTATCCTTCATCATGGCAAATCAGATTTGTTAAACCTTCTGGGGTTTTTAACTCACCAGCAGTAAGTGTTCTGTTTCCCATTTTACACTTGCGAATAGCAAGTTGAGATTGCCCTAGCAGTAATTTCATCTGCATTTTTTTAGTTTTAAAAAATATGTTCTCAATACACATTGCAGCTCTTCGATCCGATCGTCTAAATTCTGATTTACATATTTCACTGTAATGAACACGAGTCAATCTGTGCTTCTCATCTGGCCGCTTTTGACCTAAGAATATTCCTGGATAAGCTAGTTCCTCTGAATACTGATCTCTAAAAATACTGAGTGGTCTACTACCTTCACCAGGTGCAACATTGTATATATGTTGTCTTTCAGTATCATCTACAAAATCAGTAGGTGTAAGCATACTGTCTGTTACACCTGCAGGAATTTCTGCTTCGTCTTCACTCCATTCATCTTCTGATGTTAAATTAGTTTGATCAACTACTGTGATATTTTCATTGTCACTGTTAGGTGTTGTAACATCAAAGTATGATAACCAATGTTGATCAAAAGTTATTCCTTGTTCTTGATATAGTTCACTAGTATTTACCAACCAAGCTGCAGCTTGCATCACTTTATTAGGCCTCACATTCAAAGACAAGGCAGAACTCTTATATTGCAGTCAACGTTTTAATTGAACTTTAATAGTCCCAGTATCTTGTGGCAACCTGGGTAGCATGTTAAAAGTATTACATATGTCTGCTGGTACATTCACAACATTACCAGTAATTTTAAGTTGCCGTCCTCTCGGAGCTTGCATTATTTTTTGAAATGCCAATCTTGGAGCTATAAGTCTGCATTCTAATTCATTTAAATCAAAGAAGTCAGGTTTTGTTGGAAACTTCATGCCATTTGTAATTGCAGAGGGTGGCACTTTACCCTTTTTAAGATGTTTGTCACATGTCAAACACAGCCATTCAATATTATCCACACTTTTAATACCTTGTAGATGTTTAGTAGCATTTGGATTGGATAATCGAAGTCTTTCGGCTGGACAAACACTATGTTTATACCATAATTGATCACAGCATGAACATATATACAGAGGACCTGTTGATACAGATTTATGGAATTTATGTATCAATTGTGATACACTATTATGTGATATATTGTTATCATTATTGGGCCCTTGACAACCTGATGGAGGAGATTGTTTGTTTTTTCTAGAATGTCTACTTTTATTTTCCTGATAATTAGCTCTTACTTTTGCTAGTCTTTGCTCTCTTTGTTCGACAGTTTCATTTTGCCTTTTCAACCTTCTTGCTTTTCGCTGGTTTTGAAGCCTATTTTCCCTCTCTGAAACAGTTTCTTGTTGTTTTGCCTGTTTCCTTTTCTCTCCTCGCTTTGCAAGTCTATTCTCTCTCTCTATAATAGTTTCTTGTTGTTTTGCCTGTTTTCTTTTCTCTCCTCGCTTTGCAAGTCTATTCTCTCTCTCCGTAATAGTTTCTTGTTGTTTTGTCTGTTTTCTTTTCTCTCCTTGCTTTGCAAGTCTATTCTCTCTCTCAGAAACAGTTTCTTGTTGTTTTGCCTGTTTTCTTCTCTCTCTTAGCTTTGCAAGTCTATTCTCTCTCTCTGAAACAGTTTCTTGTTGTTTTGCCTGTTTTCTTCTCTCTCTTTGCTTTGCAAGTCTATTTTCCCACTCTACAACAGATTCTTGCTGTCTTTTCTCTCTTTGCTTCTCTCTTAGCTTTTCAAGTCTGTTTTCTCTTTCTACAACAGACTCTTGTTGTTTTCTTTGTTGTTCATGGTTATTTGATGTTGTGTCATTCTCTGTGTTATCCAAACTATTTGACAATGAAATGTTTCTATGACATTTCACACCCTTCAACTCAAATAGACTATTTTGACTATTTTGTCCAGGATAGAACTTACAACTGTTAGTGTTATGAAAAAAATGTATAAGGTTTTGAATTCCTTCAATAGAAACTAAAACACTATAACCCATTGCTGCTGGCATTCCATGCATATCTCGTGAATGAGAATCAAAAACTTTAAATACATCTGGGAAAGGCATTAAAACTGCAACAGTGTTTGCTCGAATAGTAAGTAAACATGCTTTATAATTACCAGCATCAAATACTTCATGAAAGGCATGTTCAAGTGTAACATACGGTTCATTGTTGTATTCCATCCATAATGCTCCAGAAAAAGAGTCACTGTACTCCAAATTAAAAGTATCATTGCTGATAGACAATATTTCAGGAACATCAGTGAGCAATAAGAAATCTTTCTGAATGTGCTGACTAATTATGGCATAAAGATTGTTTGCATTAACTAGAAGCATGTTCATAAGTGGTGTATCCCAAATATTAACAGATTTTATTTCATTGTATACAATAGCATAAATTGACATGGCAACACATTGTTTTCCAGCATTTATTCCAAACATGGATATATTACCTTGGTTGAAGTCTGCTCGAACCGTAAAACTATGATCAACAATATCATAGATATTAATTGGGCCTGGATTTTCCTCTACATCATTTGCAAGCCTCAATAGCAATGGTACATAAACATGATAAGATACCATTTGTGTATACCATATGCAAACTTCTTTATTACTTTCAATCCTGGTAACTAGATTTTTCAAGCATGGTAAATAAAATATTTCTAAGTAGAACATTACTAACATATGATTCCCAAATTTACCTTTCATTTGATTCATGGACTGTCGTGCTTGCACAAAGTTGTTATGCGAACCAATTCTTAGTCTGTATATCTCAATTGACACACCCATATTTCTATATTCTCACTGTTTGGAATAAAATGGTTTCGTTACAGTAATTGTCAATAAGCAGTGTACTGTGTATTTTCAGTATTGTCTTTGACAGTTTGTATTTGTAATTCTTTTAAAATTGCACAATGGCAAAGTCTCAATAATCCCAGCACAATGGCAATGGGCTGCTTTTTTTACCTGCACAATGGCAAGGTTCAATTTGAGTGCGTGGCCTTTCACGCAAATAGCGCCTGATAAATAATCAGTGCGAGCACAATGGCTCCGTTTCAATTTGAGTATTTTGAGAGCGTGGCCTTTCACGCTAATAGCGCCCTGATAAATAATCAGTGCGAGCACAATGGCTCCGTTTCAATTTGAGTATTTTGAGAGCGTGGCCTTTCACGCAAATAGCGCCCTGATAAATAATCAGTGCGAGCACAATGGCTCCGTTTCAATTTGAGTATATTTTGATAGCGTGGCCTTTCACACTATATAATAACGCCTGATAAATAATCAGTGCGAGCACAACGGCTCCAAAATCACAACAAATAACAAAATGTAAGGTAAATTAAAGACAGCAAAGCTTTACTTACCTCGATCTAAGTTTTCTAAGTCGTCTGAGGCGCTCGAATATCGCGGAATATGTAACTTTCTTGAGTTTGCTCGGCGAAAACATTGAGTGATTCATATCACATGATCAGTTGTTCACATGATTCAAAATTTATGTACTATTAATTATGCTTATTATGCTCGGAAACACTCGGTATTTGTCGTATTTTACGAATCTATCACGTGATTTACCACCGCCGGTACAACGCACAACGTACGTACACGACACGAAATTTAGAGCTATATGAAAGTTGCATGCCCATGTATGGGCATGCAACAAAAAATGGAATAAGCGATATGTCCATATGACTAACCATGATATCTCACACAATTTTCCAAGAATAAATACAAATATTGGGCTTTTCAAGCAAATAAACCCTGTGAATATTGTAATTTTGGTTGATTTAAAAAATGTCAAAAAACGACCTTGGACGTACCACTCAAATTTGAATCAAATTATACTTTTTGCAAACTAATATACCCAGACCTCATCCTTAAAGAGAAATTAGTTTGATCAGAAACTGTTTTGGGCTAATTTTCAACAGTTAAACTTGATGTTAAAGAGTAGATTGTTAAAAGTCCATTTCTGCCAAATAGTACAGTACCACTACTTAATGGATTTTGGGAATAAAAATGTTCATACAAATTTCAATCAGTATGGATAGTGAAAGATGTAATAAGTGATATGTCCATATGACTAAACATGATATTTATGGAACGCCATGTGTCCAAAAATTATTTAACGTTAATTATATCATATCATGAATAAAACTGTCATTATATATAAATAATTGATAAACGAACAGACATTATATCAAATCATGACTTATTCGTTTTTGTCATTATTTGATATAATGTTATCAACATTAAGCATTATATCATATAATGAAACAGCGCCGAAAAGTCATTATTTTATATAATGCAATAGCGTAGTGCGCCATCTGTCCAAAAATTAAAACTGTCCAAAAATCAATTAACCTTATCAGATAACTCAAACGTCTGGTAACTTAAAACCTCCGGTTCATGGGCCGAAGGCTACAAACAAATCTCTTCGATTACGATCGATCTTCCTCCGTTTTTCGCTTTCAGCAGCTAAGAATCCTGCTTGCAGTCGATTTTTTTAATTTAATCTTTCCCGACAGGTCCCTATTAAACAAATCACTCATGATTTATCATTTTTGCGGTTCATATCTTCAGTTCGGTAAATGCTACGTGGACCAAAATACCACCATTCGATTCAGTGTAACAATAGCTACTCATTCCTATCGATAGATTTAGTGAATGGCAACATTATAGCGATTTATGAGCTTTGAAAGTCAAACGAGCTCGTATATGAATAAATATGATCAAATTACGCAATATTACTGACAAATTATAAACATAAACATACCTTTCGCCGAATATAACTTCGTTCCATTGAGACGTATGCTCATTCTGATGTTCTTGGTGGATTAAGAAGTTAAAAATAACACGTATAGTGTTATTTTCAAGCTTCTATCTTTAAAGTTCGACATTTAGTGCCGAATTTTGTATTTCTGCTCCGAATATGCGTTAATCCCAACCGGAAATACGACGAAAAACCGTCAAAACAATGCGACGCTTGTATCGCGTGACTCTGGAAATACCAGAAATGGATTCTACAGGTCAAAGTACACCCATACGCGTGAGTTTTACGTCATCCCGGCTAAAGGGAGCTCCTTATTGGCCAAGTATTACGTAATACAAGCGCGTGCTAGTAAAACCCGATACCTTGAAAAATTCAGAATAAATATTTCTAGTCGGCGTATACATACGAAACTTTCTACACGAAAGCGCTTGAATACAAAGAGTATTTTACACATATCCTTTCAGGAAATGACACCAAAGTTTAGAATATATTCAACTTTTTCTAATTTTCTCGTTTGAATGTTTGGCGAAGCGGTGAGTATAAATATATGATTGTTTCGGTTTGTGTAATGCTTTGACGGCACTTGACCCCCCGTTCGAAAGGTTATATTGTGAGGATTTCAATGGTGGCATTTATTTAATAGGGGGGTAAATACTCGCCGAGATATTTATATTAGAAAAATTGTTATCGAAATGTAATACGAAACCGGTTGTCGGGAAAGAGTTAAATTATGGCGAGTGATGAACGTTGCTGGAAAGACGCAATAACTAGAGCCGTGCAAGGAGCAGTTTGGTCCGTATTAACAGACAGAGGGCCATTGCATTTAATATCCATCCTCCTCTCTATGGATGAGGTCAGTAAGATTTTCACCTCTAAGAAAAAAAGATCAAAGTGCCGACACAAAACCCTCTTCAGAAATTTGGAAATTTTCCCCTTACGCCTCAGAAAATTCGCAGACATCAAAAGATGCCGACAGGCTTAACCTCTCAGAAACGACTTTTGGGTCACCGCTGGACATTAAAAGGGAATGCCCCCAGAGGACCGGACCAATTCTCGTCGCCGGTATAAAGCTCGACCAGCACAAGTTTAAGTTGAAACGTTATAGACCAGGTTTGTATGACCTACATAGTGTTTCAAATAAGTACTGAGGCATTTTAAAAGCTTTACTTTGAATATTTATCGATATCTTAATTTACATAAAAGATTAAAGGCCGCAGAGACTTATACTCAGAATAGTATAGAATAGCACCCTGAGCTATTCCTATAAATAACGGTGGTGGCAATCATATAATAAAACTAATATTAATAATAATAATAGCCGGCAAACTTTGCGAACGACTTGCCCAATAAATGTCGAGACCAGTGTTGTTTGCTCTGGTTGTTTTCTGTTTATATATTATGGTTGCCACCACGGATGTTTATAGCTCCTGTGCTATTCTGAGTATAATTTTCTGCGGCCTTTGTGTAAAATAAGATATTGATAAATATTCATAAAGGTAAAGCTTAATACCTCAGTACTTATACGAAACACTATATGTAGGTCATACAGACCTGGTTTATAACGTTCGAACTTGATCTTGTGCTGGTCGCGCTGTATGCCGGCGGCGGGAATTGGTTTGGTGTGGACGGCGGTCCCCACTCGCCACAATCCAGCCTTTTTAAATTAAAAAAATCGACTGCAAGCAGGATTCTTAGCTGCTGAAAGCGAAAAACGGAGGAAGATCGATCGTAATCGAAGAGATTTGTTTGTAGCCTTCGGCCCATGAACCGGAGGTTTTAAGTTACCAGACGTTTGAGTTATCTGATAAGGTTAATTGATTTTTGGACAGTTTTAATTTTTGGACAGATGGCGCACTACGCTATTGCATTATATCAAATAATGACTTTTCGGCGCTGTTTCATTATATGATATAACGAAAAAGTTCTTTTACATGATATCATATCATGAATAAACTGAAAAGTCATTATTTGATAGCATAGTGTAACGCATTAGCATTATATCAAATCAGGACTTACACAAATGCTTATGATATCATATAATAATTTTGTCAAAAAGTCATGATATGATATAATGATTTTGTCGAAATGTCATGATATAATATCATGACCTTTCGAAAGTTCATGATATAATATAATGCTTAATGTTGATAACATTATATCAAATAATGACAAAAACGAATAAGTCATGATTTGATATAATGTCTGCTCGTTTATCAATTATTTATATATAATGATAGTTTTAGTCATGATATGATATAATTAACGATAAATAATTTTTTGGACATATGGCGTTCCATAGATATTTCACCTGATTTTCCAAGAAAAAATACAAATATTGGGCTGTTCAAGTAAATAAACACTGTGAATATTGTAATTTTGGTTGATTTTAAAAATGTTAAAAAACGACCTGGGACGTACAGTACCACTCAAATTTGAATCAAATTATACTTTTTCAAAACTATCAGACCCAGGGTCTATTATGAATAACATTTTAGTTAGATCAGAAACAGTTTTGAATAATTTATAACTGCTGAAATTATGTTTTACCAATGAACCAATGGTGTAATTTAAGTCGCATTTGGCAAGAGCAGTAAAAACTAAATTCAAACCTATTTAGCGTTTGGATTTTAAAATCGATACATTTAATTGCAGAAAATATATCTTAATTAAAAAACAGAACATATACTGTAGTTCAATATTTCCATTTAGTTTTAAAGCTATAGCCAAACATACAATCTCGTTCCCAGAGTATGCCTGTTCGTGGGTTAGGTAGTGGCATGACTCTGGGGAAATCGAATCGAAATCGTTATTTGATTGG